ATTGGAGGTTCGCCATTTGGGTAGACTGTAATTTGCTGAAGTGGTTAGTGAACTTTAAAAATTCAGAGGAAATGATAGCATTCTGCATGTTGAATAACACAATAGCAAGAATATGACTGTCATAGATCATCACCCAGACTGCAACACAAAAATGTGAATAGGATATCTCACTGAATAGTGAGACCTTATCTGTTACTGAAATTTTCTGATTCTGGAAACATTGAAGGAGTGGAAACCATGAAAGTTTGAGCCATACTGAAAGCCAACTATGAAATAGTTGGATGCCAAAGCTAGTGCTTCAGGAGCTCCAGAACAAGCAAATAAAGGACTCTGACCTAGTGTAGGAACTTCTCACTATCCAGTAAGGTTAAACTCGATCAGCACTAATAGAGGAACATAGCACAGATGTACATAATTTGTGATACCTCTTTGTGCAGTTACAAGTGGAAGAGGATGCACTGTACCATTGTTACTAGCTTGCAAGTATTGCAGATAGCAGTATTCAGAGCTCTGTCTTAAGAAAAACTGGAACTTTCACAACACAAGAACTGGGGGTTCCAAGTTGTGACCCATTCTAATCCTAACATTTGATGACAATTTTAGCCATGAGTGGATCGAGATGTTCAGTGCTGATGTGAATGATTTACAGTGTGTGATGTCCAGAGGAAACTGATCAAGACAGGGCAAACTCGGACAGAGAATTATTGGGTCTCCTCTGCCAAGGATAACCTTTAATATTGATGGCCAACTCCAGTCACTGCATGAGAACAGTACTACATACTCATAGCATTTCCATTGGTTGATACACTAGTACAGACCACCACAGATGTGTTAGCTGAGAACTGGATTACATGACTCAAAACGATCAAAGAAATTTAGATGGAACAGAATGCTAACTACAACAACCAACTCTTTACTGAGCTGTGTTATAAAAATAATAGAATAGAACAGGGACAAATACTTGCCATATGTAATGATGTCGTATAGAGCAACAAAACAGAGATCAATTGGCTGTTCACCGAATCTACTCATGTCTAGATGGTAAGTCTCACTATTTGTGGGTGCGATGTTTGGTCCTCTGCCACCAGAAGAAGGGCCTAGTGTTTCTACGAGTAGGAGAACTGACTAAGATCAGATAGCCCATTCTGTAGCTTTGTGCTTAACTACAAACAAACATATGTATATATATTAAAAGAACATGCCATTTCCTCGAGAGCACGGGTTTGTGAGTTAGCGGGAGATTGCTAAGTTTCAGTTAACAATATTATTAAAAATTGCTAATTTAAGAGGGGGGAATAGGGATCTTCAAAAAATAAAGAAACAAGATAGGTAATTTTATAGTGAAATGCAATTGCAAAACAGTAAACAAACAAACCTAAGGTTTGAGACATAGTGTTGACATTATTTCATCCAGCTACAAGTCCCTATTTTAACTCTCCTAAATATTACAGCTTTTAGACATGGAAAAAAAAGACAGGAACAATTTCGTGACTGAGAAGCACACACCGTAAAGCTGGCCAAGATCTTGACTAAGCAGCCGTTCGTAGGAGAGCGTTTCTATTAACATACGCATAATCATACTAAAAAAAAAACGGCCAAGTGACAAATTACTCATACTTGTACTGTGGTTAATAAAATTGACAAACATGATAACAAAATCATTTTAAACCAGTTATAGAGTTTCCATTTTTTATCAAGCAATTTTAAACTATGTATCCAGTAATACTTATTGCCTTGGCCGCATTCTGATATCAGTTCTTTTAGTCGCTGTGGACGCTAAAACGGATGAGCTAAAGCAGACATCTCAAAGTCAACATCCCACGTCCCACCAACGGTCAATGGTGCAAGATATTGCTCAACACTATCGTAGCCACCGATGTATCTATTTAAGTAGTTATGGTGACCATCAGCCCCAATGCCACTTACTAATTCAAGTATTCTTAGCGTGTGAGTAACTATTGCACTTCTAACTTCAAAATGTTGCTCTTCTGAACCAGTTAGTACATAAGACATAGCTCGAAAAAGGCAGATTCTGTCATCTCTAATGCGCTTTAAAGATATAGCATCTGGAAGAGTTGGAATGACGTCTGATTCACCTGATACACGCACAAACCTCCGGTCTGATAAATTACAAGCTTGTCTCTCCATTCCTCATCAACAGGATAATACCTGTAATCAATCCATTAAGTTATTGACACAATAGGCTTGTCAACAGCAGTTAATTCACAGTATTTGTAAGTAGCTGTAGTGGACGCAGCTACTTTGGATTTATCCTTACGCTTCATATCCAAGGAGCCTCTTGATTAAAAAGTAACAACATCAGGTACTACCTCAGTTCGTGGTTTCTTTATAGGTGGATCAGATTTAACGAATGGTTCAGCCAATCATTAGTTGCTATTTACCTTCTTTAAAGCATCATTGATCACTAGCAATTCTACATCACACAATTTAGCACATTGTGCAGGTACTGATAATGAATCAATACTAGAAGTGCTCTCATAAAAAAACAAGTACAAATCTTTTGCTCCTTTGGGCCAAGATGAAGTTGTTAAAGTTTGATCATTACAGTAAATCCATTTACCATTCACCGAAATGTCACTTGTATAACCAACACCAGCCTTCTTGGTTTGCCTGTAGTGCACACTTGATTTCAATTTAAACACATGATCACCTACCTTAATTGAACTACTCGGCACAGAGTTGATACTAGTCTTTCGTCATATCTTATCACTATCTGTTGTAATTTTCCAATCATCAAGTTTAAGCAGAATTAACTGTTGAGCACTAACAAACTGAGTGGTGCATTACAAATGTTACATAAGTTACGTACTATCTTGCACTGTCCACTCTTGAGCGAAGTTAAGCAAATCATCCATTCTTATGCTATTTTGAGCATGGAACCGAAATAGTCATGACTGTTTGTTCCTTGTCTATAATAATAATTTTGTTACATTTAATGCACAAAGTTTCTGTTGTAACACAATGGTTTATTAAAGAAGACGGGCTAGTATAATGGTGCACAAGTACTTGAAGAAAATGTACAGGATCTTGTTCACAGTGTGTGTATCAAATGGATCACCAAGCTCATTACATATACTAATGCAATCTAAAGTTGTGTGATCAACACTTTCATAGTTCTTGATCAACTGTTTAATAGATTCATTTGAGTCTTTAATAAGTTTGTTACGAATAGCTTTGCTATATAGAATGCATATGCATTGTAGGTTTGTAGTATGCTATTAGCATAGCTTGACAATCCATCACTACTGGTAAAAACTTTTTTTAGCTAAAAAAAGTAAACAATTCTGCTCCATGATGACAAGGTTGCTGCTGAATTACCAAAACTAAGTTTGTTGCACACCACGATCTGTCAGCAATAGCTTTGGGCTTCTTCTTGTAGGAAGCTAAGATGGGAGATGGGTTGTAATTTCTGCTGGAGATACATATATTCCACCATAGCAGATTCCGATGCTTTTATAGAGCGAGGATCTATGTTTATCAAGTGAAGACTTGACAGACTAGTAACTCTAGACATTGCCACATAGCTTTGGCCACAGGTAAAGATTATATTGCCAATGTCCGTAACAACATTATGCAGAGTTAATTCTTGCAACTTGTGTATGGTGTTAGCATATGTACTTGCAAGTGAAAACTGGTGTTGAATAACAAAATCTTTATCCAACACTTAGATTTACTATTTAGTTTCTCAATTCATGTTCTTGACTATCAATAAACTTTATATTTATGCTATTAACAACACTGGCTTGATCTATGCTATACTTAGCAGAACACACACTATTGCTCCATTTACGAGTCCAACAGTCAATGTTTCTCCTTAGCATAACCTTGCAGTCAATCTTTATTACTATATCTTTTTTCCAAGCTAGTTGTGAGAGTATTCTCATCACTTTAGTTAGAAAGCTTTACGGAGATTTTTGAACAAAGATATCCAGGACAATCCGCTGTATCTATAGCCATCAAACGAATTTCTTCTCCATTAAGATTTTTAAGCATTTCTTTGTTAAACATGTATTTAACAACATGAAAATCTTTGCTCATGTTAGCACTAGGCGCACACGACAAATTAATGCCACACACATTCAATACTGAGTAACAGTCAAAACTTGGACAATTCTAGCCAAAACCTGCCAATCAGCCAAAACCACTTACAAAACTTTTATATTAATGGGTACCTGTGAATAAACTGTGGACTGTAAACACACACAACCGTCACTTAGTAAACGAATAATACTGAAAAACAAACAAGTCCTATGGTTATATAATTAGCGCGAGCTACAGTGGGCACGAGTACATAGGTTTATGTGTATGAAAACAAAAAACAAAAACTTGTGAATGAAACTTAAAACAAATCTATTAGCTTGGACAAAGAAGTAATTACTGTCAACAAACAATTAAAACTCGCGAGTATCGTGTGTTTACACCGGAAACCAGTGTTACGACAGCGGAAGTCACGTGACTCTGGTAACACGTAGTGAGTATCTAGAAGGTTCATGAAGGCTCGAGTGTTTGCCAGACGCCCTCTATTTTGTATATATAAGACCGGCAAGAAGTGACGAGATAGATAATTGCAGATAGGCAGAGACACAGACGGACAATTGAGTCAAGGGCGGTAGTGACCGTAGGTAAAGTGCGTGACTCGTCGTGAATTATAGCGTGTGTTGAAGTTAAAGTAACTGTGGAACTTAAGTGTATTGCAAAGTTGAATCTAGAAAGAATAAACTAGTTTTATTTAAGAAAGGACTTGTATCGCTGAAGTTTCTCGGAAATAAATTCTACGGAAAATTAACAAACGACCAGAGACGTAACAATATGGTGTTCAGTCTCTACAGTGGGCATAGCACACTTAATACATAGTGCAGCTTTATGTTCACCACAAAACAAACAAATAAACTTGTTTCTATGTTATAAATATTTTGATAAATATTTGAATATATAAAACAAAACATAGAGAGCGCATAGTGAAATGAAATGGTTTTGGTTTTACAGGTATTGTGCAATTTTTCTTGCATGTGTTATTTTATTGGACAGTAGATTGTATTTATAGTGACAGTTTACACTTCGTTAAAGTTTTAAATTAACGAATACTTTACCGGTAAGAGTAATACTAATAGTGTGTTATCTTAAGTTAATGTACCTTAGGAATTTATTGTTATTAGTTTTTTTTATGTCAGATCATAACTTAGAATATTTAGAAGTTAAACCAGTGACCAGACGTTTTCAGTAACGAAAACAACATAAAATTAAAAATCATGTTATGCCATACATTTCATACTAGTATTACCCATAGATTACTTTAATATATATATATATATATATATATATGATATACAGTTTAAATCAATATAATTTATAAATAAATCATGTGAACTTTGCTTAATCATGTGGGAAAGCTTAATCAAGTTGACATTAAAAGTACATGGTAAAAATATTGAGAACTTGTGACAAGTTGTGTATTTCATATATCTATAGACTTTGTAGTTTGAGTTTGAATTCTCAAGAGGACTTGAAGTTGTACTATTTGTACAGTATGCATCTTTACTTTAGACTTTACTAACTTTTGCATCTTGTATAGGTATCAATGAAAATATTTTTATTTTTCTAGAGAATAACAGGAATGGCTAAATATACTGCAATTCAACAGTGATGTAACTACTATTAAACTAATTAAAAAAAAAGAAGACAAATTTGAATTATCTCCAGAATTGTAGCTGGACACTTTCTGTTCTGTAGTCTGTACTGAGAGAAATGTATTTATAAATCATTAAAAATGAACTACATAATGTGAAATAGTACAAGAAAATAGAATGTTATTAAACATAAAGAAGCAATTTATCCTTAATTCACAAATTCTACATTACTGGGGATATATGCAAAGTTGTCGTTTAACAATAACAGTTTAAGATATAGAAAAAGTACTTTTGTATTGGCCATCCTTGGAATAAGTATTAGCAGAAGACTACAAAAGTTCCTGTTTTCTAAGTCATTAGTTCATCATTTATTCATCATTCTTTTCATTAATGTTTTAGTGTGATATGAACATGTCATTGTACATATGTTTATATTCAAAAAATTGAAAGAGTTCATTATAATTTATATGGTCTACAACTTAAGTTTATTGATATAAATTCTTAGTTCATTGTGCTATTAATGCAGATTCCAAGGATGGGCAATGCAATAGTAAGTATTTTATATAAAGCTTAAAGGACAAATTTGCACTTATCCCCCAAAATGTAGAATTCACAACTTATAAATTAATTGCCTTATATATTTTATTATTATAGTCCATTTTTGTACTATTTCACATTCTGTAGTATATTTTTTTATGATTTATAAAGACAGTACAGAACAGAACAGAAGGGAGCCAGCTACATTATGGGGTTAAGTGCAAACTTGTCTTTAATAATGGTTAAATCAGTGTTGCATTGTAGTTTAGTAAGCCATTCTCATTATTTTCTAGATACAAATATTTTCATTGATACCAACATAAGATGCTGAAGTTGCATATTGTATAAGTCTCTACAGGCAGTCATGATCTTTTGATATGTGTTGAACTACACAAGTATTAGTTTTTTTATTTTGTATCTTTTATGTCAGTTGAAGCATATTAAGTGTTACATGTATGTTTTTCTTACTGAAAATGTAATAAACATTTTATATAGTATTGGGAAGTATCTGTCTTTCAATATGCAAAGTTTTTATGTGAATATTTCAAATTTAAGCACATTAAGCAATGTTCAGTATTTTACACATTAAGTGAAACACATTAAATAGGTTATATGTATAGCTTTATGTGATTTTTATGTTGTTTTTGTTACTGAAAATGTCTATTCTTTTTTATTTGGTATTGGGAGGTTCCTCTCTGCAATGTGCAAAGTTTGTATATGTGAAAATTTTAAATAAGCGTGTTAAACACAGTTCACACTAAGTAGGTTATACATGTATAGATTAACATGATTTTTATATTGTTTTCATTATTGAAAATGTCCAGTCTTTTGTATATAGTATATTTAGAAGTGCCTCTCTTGAAATGTGTAAAGTTTGTATGTGAATGTTATGAATTTAAACACATTAAGCTACATTAAGTGTTTTTTACATTAAAGTTTTGGAGTGTCCTGCAGGGCAGTCATATATTACATTCTTCTTTACTTTCACTCGTAAGTTCTTATCATTAGATAGAACTAAGCTCTGTAGAAAGCTTGCAAAAGTTTTTTTTTTTCTTTTGGGATTTAATAGAAATATTTGCTTTCTATATTACAAATTATAAGACTGAACTCTTAATGTTATGATTATTCCTCATTTTACATAAAAGTTTTAGCTCACTGTCTTCCCAAAAAAGACATTAGTGTTGATAGCTCATATTTGGAGAGATAACAGAGAAAAACAAATTACATAAAAATTGTTTTAGTTGATTCCATTAATTCATTAGGGAAACATACCAAGAAGCCTACTTTAGTAGTAATTATGTCTCTGCACAGAGACATATACTATTTTTCTATTGTTTTTTTTTCTTCTTCAGAAGACTTTTCAATCGATTACTATTCCTTCATTTCTTGGAAGATTGACTTGAAATGTGGTAGGGTTATATCTTGGTCTAATACACTCAGACACCTTTTTAATTTTTTTCTATGTAGGCCTTTTTAAGGATTTTACGGGTCAACGGTAAAACAACCCAAAAGTTATAATTTGGGCTCTTGTGCAGCCATATTTACTGCAATCAAGAAAGAAATTGGCACAAATATAAATTTTCATGTGCTCAATATACTGAAATACAGAAAGTTAGAACTTGCAAAAAAGCATAATTTAGGAGTTTTTGATCAAATACTTGGCCATATTTTGCTGAATTTATATGGGATTTTTATTTTTCTACAGGTCCCATACATTAACAAACAAAAATATTGGACTTGCTTATTTTTAATAATTATAGAGGTCAAGATGCAACAAAAACCATAATTTTAGGTTTTTTTGACAATTTACATGGGTTTTGGTACAAAGATACTTTTTCACAGGTATGAAACAGGGATATAGACAATTTTGAAATTTTTATCTTTTGCACAATTTTTCAGCAAATAAAACAACTTGGGATTTTTGTGAACTATTCATGTGTATGTAAACCAAATTACATGGGATTTGGTACAAAGATATCTTCTTGCAGGACCCAGGAAGTGATATAGGCAGTCGTTATCTTTTCCTGTGTTCATGATTTTTCTGATGCCAAAATTGGCCAATTTGGATTATGTGGCAGAGACATGTTACATTTGCCTGATTAAATTTATTATAGAACATAATGATAGTATACTTTCTCTAACAGGAAGCCAAAAAACATGAAAATTTCAAGTTTTCAACATTAAAGTGTGAAGGGAACTGAAATTTTCATTATAAATAATGTACTGTTAAAATACTGAAGGTTTTTACAACTGTTTTTACTTTATTATGTTTTATATTAGTAGGATCTTTCTTCATTTCAATATAAGAACCGTTACTTAAAAGTTGTTTAATGTTATCATTATACACTTTTTTATGTAATGTGACAATCTGTCCACCTTTGTCTGCTTTAGAAATAACAATGTTCATATTATCTTTAATAGCACAAAGTTAATTAATTTCATTATTATACAAGTTTCTTTTAGTTTTTCTGGTACCTGAAGTTAAAATTTTTGCCACTGATGTTCTAACAGTATCCTTTACAATATTATCTTTAACTTACAGTTATTTAAATTAGGTTCCACAGCCATTAAATCATCTTTTACTGACCTACTGTTATTTAACAAAAAATTCAAATCTAGCTCAAGAATTTTAATTTGATCTGTTGTAATATTTTCCTTTGACATATTTATTATTTTTTGGTTGTTCAACAATTTAGTGTACTTCTGATTTAGTACCACATTATTCATTTTTAAATTCTTTTTTTGAATGTTTATCATTCTTAATTAAGTTAATCAATTTCTTACTCAAATTATTCTTATGTGAGATCCTGTCATCCATGGTCACAAAAAATGTCCTCATTTTCATCTTTTATTTATAGGGCTATCAATATTTTGTCATATGATGAGGATTTGATGTTAGAATTATAATAATGGCTGGAGACAGCTTGAATGGGTAATGAAGAAAAACTTTAATACAACAGCAAATGTACAACGTTTCGACAAAGTTTTGTCATCATCACCTCACGAGGACAAAACCTTGTTGAAATGATTGAAAATTT